ACTCACGCTACACCACGGTCTTTCCCTTGCGCACCAAGGGTCAGGTCCCGTTGGTGCTGATCCGTTGGATCCGAGCCGTGCGTCTTCAGCTCCGCAGGAGGTTCCACACCGACCTCCCTGTTCTGCGTCTGCACTCTGACAGAGGTGGGGAGTTCGCTTCGGACTCCCTGCGTGGCTTCTGTCAGGAGGAGGGCATCACCCAGTCGTTCACGCTTCCGGGCTCACCACAGCAAAATGGGGTTGCTGAGCGCCGCATTGGCCTGATCATGAAGTTTTCTCGTATCTCCATGATCCATGCGGCGGCTCCCCATTTTCTGTGGCCGTTTGCAGTCCGGTACGCCGCGCAGCAGCTCAACCTCTGGCCCCGTGTCTCCGCTCCGGAGACCTCGCCCACACTGCGTTGGACGGGGGAGGTTGCTGACGCATCGGCGTTCCGGGTCTGGGGTGCCCGTGCTCTTGTTCGCGATCTGTCCGCGGACAAGCTCTCCTCCCGCACTCGTTCCTGTGTCTTCCTTGGCTTTCCGACTGACGCGCCTGGCTGGCAGTTCTACCACCCTGCCTCACGCAGTGTCCTTTCCTCTCAGGACGTCACCTTTGACGAGTCCATTTCCTTCTACCGCCTCTTCCCCTACCGCACTGCCCCGCTCCCTCCCCCGTCGCTCTTCCTCGCACCAGGTCCCCCCCCGGTAGACCCCCTCCCCCCTCAGGGTCCTGCTCCTTCAGGTGTGTCTCAGGTAGACCCCCCCACCTTGGCTGAGCCGGTAGAGATCTCTAGTGACTCCGGTGCTGCTGAGGGTGGTCCTTCTCGAGGTACTGCGGCTGGAGGTGCTGAGCCTGTGCGTGAGGTGCTGGAGCGTGCGGAGTCTGAGGGTGCCGAGCCTGTGCGTAAGGTGCCGGAGCGTGCGGAGTCGGAGGGTGCGGAGCCTGTGCGTGAGGTGCTGGACCGTGCGGAGTCCGAGGGAGCTAGACCGGTGTCCCGCCGGCCCCTTACGACGGAGGAGCTGCGAGAGTGGTTTGCGGTGCGTCAGCGTCTGAGGAGGCGTCCTGGAGTCGACGGTGCTGCTGCTGGAGCTGGAGGCACTTGTGCTACCGACACCACAGGCCTTGGAGGTGCTCGTACCGGAGGTACTTGAGATGTCGAGGCCGGTGGTGTTGGAGGAGGTGCTGCTAGAGGCCCTGGTACTGGAGGTCCCGGGTCTGGGAGTGCTGCTGGAGAGGGTACGCTCTCGTCGAGCCAACTACGCGAGTGGTACACGGAGCGCTTCCGCCTTCCGAGTGTTGGAGCTGGAGCTGGTGGTGCAGGCGGACCTGGAGGTGCTCGTGCTGGAGTTAGCGCTGCCGGGTCTGGTAGTACTGCCAGCCCCGGCGGTGCTCGTACCGACGGCACTGGAGCTGCTCGTCCTGGAGACGCTGGAGCTGGAGACCCTGAATCTGGGGGTGCTGCTGCTGGAGGTGCTGGAGCTGGTGACTCAGGTGCTGGGGGTGCTGCTGCTGGAGGTGCTGGAGCTGGTGACTCTGGTGCTGGGGGTGCTGCTGCTGGAGGTGCTGGAGCTGGTGACTCTGGTGCTGGGGGTGCTGCTGCTGGAGGTGCTGGAGCTGGTGACTCTGGTGCTGGGGGTGCTGCTGCTGGAGGTGCTGGAGCTGGTGACTCTGGTGCTGGGGGTGCTGCTGCTGCTACTGGAGGAGCTCCTGCTGGAGGTGCTGGTGCTCGAGGTTCAGCACCGACGCGACTGTTCTTCTCTCCGCCGACGCCGTCGCGTCTGCCGCCTCCTGACACGGTACTTGGTCAGGTTCTTAGCCTCCCGTCTTCTACTGGCTTACCGTTACAGCCCGGTTCCCGACTGCCCGCTCCTTACCCCCCCTCGTTACACTGAGCAGCCAGCCTCCCTTACAGAGCGTCGTGAGCCTGCGTCTCGTCCTGTCTCACCTGTTCGCACTGTTTGCACTGGTCGCACCGGTCGCACTAGTCGTCCACGTCCTCCTCCTGTCCCTGGCACTCACGCCATGGGGCTTCGACCCTCTTCTGCTCCGAGGCGTATTCCTCTGCCGTCGCCTCCTACGTCCTCTCTTCCTTAGGTCTAGGACCCTGCGTCGGACTTGCTTCGCGCCGTTGCCAGTCCCACTGTCACGCGTCTCCTTGCTACTGTCGTCACTGACCCTTCCTTTGAGTCTACTGCTGCGTCTGCCTTAGTTGCTGAGCTGGTCGACTTTGCCGCTCGCTGTCGTCTCGACTACGCTGCTAGTCTTGTTGCTGAGTCTGAGTCTGCGTCTGTCTGTCCTCCGTCCGTCGGGGGTGAGTGTGCTCTTAGCATGGACGTCCTTGAGGACAGGCAGGAGGACTTTGAGTGTCTTGCGGCTGCTGTACCTCATCTCGTGGCCATGCTGCTTGCCCCTGAGGGAGACCCAGATGCACTGGACATCCCGACCCCGCGCTCTTACGCAGAGGCGATCACGGGTCCTTACTCCTCTCAGTGGCAGACGGCCATGGACGCAGAGATGGCATCCTGGAAGTCCACAGGCACCTACGTCGACGAGGTTCCCCCTCCTGGGGCGAACATCGTCGATGGCATGTGGATTTTCAGGGTGAAGCGGCCGCCGGGTTCTCCGCCTGTCTTCAAGGCTCGTTACGTTGCCAGAGGCTTCAGTAAGCGTGAGGGAATTTACTTCTTCCAGACCTTCTCCCCTACCCCGAAGATGACCACTCTTCGGGTACTGCTGCACGTTGCTGCTCAGCGTGACTACGAGCTTCACTCTCTGGACTTCAGCACAGCGTTCTTACAGGGCAGCCTGCACGAGGAGATCTGGCTGCGCCGTCCACCTGGCTTCACTGGGTCGTTCCCTCCTGGTACCCAGTGGAGCCTCCAACGGCCAGTCTACGGTCTCCGCCAGGCACCTCGTGAGGACGACACACTGAGGACGACACTTGCGGCTCTTGGGTTTGCTCCCTCCACTGCTGACCCGTCGCTGTTTCTTCGCACCGACACTTTGCTGCCGCCGTTCTACATCCTCGTGTACGTGGACGACTTGGTCTTTGCCACTGCTGACACTGAGGCACTCGCCTTTGTGAAGTCTGAGCTATAGAAGCGACACACTTGCACTGACCTGGGTGAGCTGCGCAGTTACCTTGGCTTGCAGATCACCCGGGACAGAGCACGCCGCACCATTACCTTGACTCAGTCACACATGGTGCAGCAGGTCCTTTAGCGCTTCGGCTTCACTTGGTCCTCCCCACAGTCCACTCCTATGGCTACGGGTCACTCGCTCTCAGCTCTGCCTTCGGATGAGTCCGTAGAGCCGAGTGGCCCGTATCCAGAGCTTGTAGGCTGCCTCATGTACCTGATGACTTGCACTCGTCCTGACCTTGCGTACCCTCTTAGCATCCTTGCTCGTTACGTTGCGCCTGGGAGACACCGGCGAGAGCACTGGGAGGCTGCTAAGAGGGTACTGCACTACTTGTGCAGTACATCAGGCATGGGGCTTGTGCTTGGAGGACGTGGCGACGTTGTCCTCACTGGACACTCAGACGCATCCTGGGCTGACGACCTGGCTACGCAGTGGTCGTCACAGGGTTACACTTTCAGCCTTGGCTCTGGCTCTGTTTCGTGGCGGTCTACCCGCTCGTCGTCTGTTCTCAGCTCCAGTTGTGAGGCTGAGATCTACGCCACAGCCATGGCTGCACAGGAGTTGCGTTGGCTCACCTACCTGCTGACCGACTTGGGAGAGAGGCCTCGTTCTCCTCCAGTGCTGTACGTAGATAACAAGGCCACCATTACCTTGTGTCAGGAGCACAGACTGGAGCACAGAATGAAGCACATTGCCCTGCGCTACTTTCTTGCGAGAGAGCTGCAGCAGCGTGGCCAGCTTCATGTTACTCACGTGGCCACTCGGGCCAACACTGCTGATGTGTTCACCAAGGCACTTCCGCCTAGTGACCATCAGCGGTTTTGCACTGCTCTAGGTCTTGTGCCTCACTTTGCTCATCTGCTTACTTCTTGACTCTGTTTGTACTGCAATCTATATTATTTACCTGCATGCCTACACTTGTTAGGTAAAGATCACTGTACTGTTTGTGATTGTATATATATCTCTGCATGTGAACTGACCTTGTGGCCCTTTGCTTGTGCTCAGACTGTGTGGTGACTTTGTGATCCACCCTGAGCTTGTTTTGCTTTGACTGGTCTTGTGACCCCTTGTTCTCCCCACTTTGCCTATGGGGGTGTGTCAAACTTATATAGCTTAGGCTATTGTCTAGGCTGTAGTGGGGTTGACCATAAGGAGTACAGCTTTTAGGGTTGACATATTTGTACCAAAATCTTCCCTTAGTCATTCATTCCTGACTAGGATTCTGAAATACAGTTTGGTGTCTAAACATTGTAATTTTATATTTGCCATTTTATAAGCGCATGCGCTTATATTTTTTACTCAATTATAAGCGCACCCCCCTAAAAAACACTGATTTATTATAAGCGCACCTGCGCTTATATCCGGGGTAATACGGTAGTGGCGGGAACAGTGGTCAAGACGAGTGTCGCAAGTGGAAACGCTTTACTGATGGGTACTGTTGGCGGGAATAGTTATGTACGCAGTAGTCAGGGGCGTGACGTAAGGAAAGTGACTCTTTCTTACACACCACAATGAATACCATCAAGAATTCCTCACTTCAAATTTCTTTCTGTTGAGATCTTTTCCTTAGTTTCAACCAAGAACACTTCGTTATTGTTTATATCGATGGGAGCAGTATCTCGTTACTAAACAAATCACATAACCTTGTCCCATTCCTTCCTGCCGCATATGCCTGGCATAGCTAATTGGGCTTCATTGCACCTTCAGTTCTGCGTGAGGGCAATGGCAGGGTTTTGTCGGCCGTTTCGGGCATCTAGATCACGCAACGAGGCAAGCGTTTGCACTACCGAGAGAACAGCGTTGCCATAGCTCGACGAATCACGTGCAATCTCCGTCCGAAGAGCTTCGTTGTTCAGCCCATACTGTTTACGATGGCAATGGCAGACGTCAAGGATACGCCGTCCAATGGAACGGGCGACCAGGATGTTTCGCCGTCTGTCGCCAGGGAATCAAACGGACAGAAGGCAGGACTGGCGAAAGGCCAGCGAAAGCCGCCACACCGTCGCGAAAGGTACTTCGGCGACAGTAGCAATGCCGCGGAAGCGAAGAAAGAGACGAAAGGGAAGGCCGGAATTGCCGCGCAAGGTTCCGGGCTTAAAGCGGCAGGGGGTCTAGGGGACGCGGCGCGGGGTTTAGGGTTGGCGGCGAGAGAGGCTGGAGGCGGGGAGGCGAAAACGGACTGGAGCGCGTGGGGGAAGGATTCTGCGGATGACGAGGGGAGGGGGAAGGGCGAGGAGCGGAGGGAGGAAGGAATGGTGGAGGAAGGGGAGGTGGAGGATGATGAGGAGGGAGAGGATGGTGTGGACGCGGAGACGCGCGGCAGGATGGGCAAGTACAGCCGCGGCAAGGCGCTCAAAACCGAGGTGGGTCAAAACCGAGATGCGGCAGTTGAAACTGAGGTGAGGCGTGCGTGGTGCAGCAGGTAAGCGGGGAGGAGCGCGGTGCACGCAGTGGTGAGCGGTGGAGAGCGGCGATGTGGTGAGCGGTGCAGAGCGGCGAGCCTCCCCTTTCTGCTGGTTCTGTGACGAGCAATGGCATCTGCGGGACTCTCTTTCCGCCATCAGCCCCTCAACCCCCTTTCACCCCCCCTTTCACCCCCCCTTTCACCCCCCTTTCACCCCTCTTTAAGCTCCCTTTAATTCCTGTTCACCCCAACTTCACCCCCCCATCAATCCTTGCCGGTACTCCCCCCTTTCATTCCCTCGTACATCTCCCCCAGCATCTCCCCCTTTCACCCCCCCTTCCCCTCCCTTCTTCTTTCAGCCCTTTCAGCCCCCCTTCTTCCGTCCCCCTCGTCTCCCCTGTTCTCCGCTAGTTCCGCCTCCCCCTTCGCATCTTCTGTGCTGACTGCCCCTTTCTCCCTGCCCTCCCTCCCTCCCACTTCACGCCCCCCCGTTCCCGAGCACACAGAAATTTCCGGGCAGATTGAAAGCAAAGATGGAGCATCGGGAGAAGGTGATTGGGCAAGGAGTCTTGACGGCTGCCCAGGCAGAGAAGGTACGCGTGCAGTGCAGCACCTAAACCCCTTTCGCTCTCACCCTAGCTCCCTTTGCTCTCACCCTAGCCCCATTCACTCTCCCCCGTTTGGTGCGTCCCATCGCCCCTCGTTCCTCTGTACTTGCCTTGCCTGCATCTCACTCACACCCTTGCTCTCCACCACCCTTGCTCTCCGCCACACTCGCTCTCTGCCACACTCGCTCTCCGCCACACGCTCTCCGCCACACTCGCTCTCCGCCACACTCGCTCTCCGCCACACTCGCTCTCCTATTATCTCATCCTCGCCCGCCCTTCCCCATCCAATCCCGCTAAAACCTACCCCCGTCTTTGCCAGTTCTCCGTTCCCGTCCGACCCCTCCCCATGCCAACCCCCCTTCCTCCCCCCTTGTCTCGTCCTCCACCGCGGTAGGATGATGTGCACAGCGCCTCTCTCGTGCACCCACCTCCACTTCCCCAACCACCTTTCCCCCCACCACGTTCCCCACACCCACGCCCCCCCCCACCGCGATCTTTCCCCCTCCTCCCCTTCCCCCCACCACGCTCTTTCTCCCTCCTCCCCTTCCCCCCACCACGCTCTGCCAGTGGCTTCCATCAGGGGTAGGTGCGTCCAGGCAGGGTGCGTGCAGGCAGGGTGTGTGCACCTCAGGAGCAACCTGTCGCAGGCCGACATGTGATGGCCGAACCCACACCCCCTGCTCACTTCCCCCTGCACTCCTCTCCCCCTCTTCCTCCTCATGTCCCCGCCCCGCCTCCCATCCCCTCCTTCCCTCCGCCAGTGGCTGCTCCTTTTAGAGGCAGGGTAATTGGAGGCGGAGGGAGTGGAGCACACGCACGCCTAGCCAGTCTCAAGCCAACATGTGATGCTCAAAACCTACACCGCCTGCACACTTCCCCACTCCACTCCTCCCCCTCCCCCGCTCCTCCCCTCCCTCCTCCCCCCTTTCCCCATCCCCCCTGCCCTTCCCATCCTTCCCTCCCCGGGCTCCCCCAGTGGCTGTTGCCGTCAGAAGCAGGGTACTTGGAGGCGGAGGGAGTGGAGCGCACGAGCAACCTGTGTCAAGCCGACATCGTGCAGCACGTGGGGGCTGCCAGCCGACGAGCTGCCTTCGATCTCAAACTGCCAGGTGGGGGTGGTGCTGGTGATGGTGGTGGGGCTGTGCAATGCAATATCGGGGCTGTGCCATGAGGGTGGTGGTGTGGGGGATGGTGGGAAGGGTGATGAATGGCAGGGGTAGGCAGGCACAGTGCAGCAACCCGTCTCAAGCCGACATCATGCAGCACGTGGGCGCTGCCAGCAGATGAGCTGCCTTCGATCTCAAGCTCCCAGGTGCGGGCGCGGTGGAGTGGTGGTGGTGTGGGATGGTGGTGGTGTGAGGTGATAATGATGCGGGGGGTGGTTGAATGGGGTGTGATGCATGGCGGAGGCTGGTAGGCACAGTGCAGCAGTGCATGTGGCATTGGGGCGAAGAGCAGGAGATATGTTTCGACCTTGAGTGAGCGGGTCGATGGTGTGGCCACGTCGATGGTGTGGTAGGTGGGGTGGGAGGTAGAGATGGTACAACCCTCCAGCAATCCTCCCCAACTGCGACCAACCAACTCTCCTCATCCCCGCCTTTTCTCCTCATCCCCGCCTTCTCTCCTCTCCCACGCTTCCTGCTCTCTCAACACCGTAACATGGGCCTTCTTGAACCATCTGTGTCTACCCCATCCCCAGCCTTCTCTTCTTGACCTTATCAGGCACCGTCTCAATCACCTCTCTCCATTGGACTCTGCCTTCTAACCGAGGCAGCCCCTTCCTGCTTTCACTCGCTGCTACCTTGCCCCATTCGACCTTCTCCTGCCACCAGACCAGTGGAAGACAGCCCCTTATGGCTTCTACCCAAACCAGCCCCTTATGGCTTCTACCCAAACCTGCCCCTTCTGGACCGTACTTACCCGAGGCAGCTTTCCTCACTCTAACTCCCTTGTGGCACCTTCCTCTTCTTCCCCCCCACCATCAGAGCTGGGCCCGTACAAGGCGGCCTACTCGCTCAACGGGCGCAGCCTGCTGCTGGGGGGGCGCAAGGGGCACCTCGCTGTGGTGGACTGGCGGCGCTGCCACGTCACCACTGAGATCCAGGTGGGGGGCGTCTGAGGGGCGTGTGGGGGGCGAGTGAGGGGCGTGTGGAGAGCGTGTGAGGTCGTGTGAGGGGAGTGTGAAGGGGGCGGGGGGTGGGGGAGATGGGGGAGAGGGAGTGGCGAGGGGCGTGTGAGGGGCGAGGACTGGCTGGATGGCCATGACACCACCACGTTACATGTGGGGCCATGCGACGGGTGTGTGAGGGGCATGGCTGGTGTGTGGGGGGCGTGTGGTGTGAGGCAAGTGAACTTGTAAAGAGGAGAGTGATGATGGCGGGTGTTGATGGGTACATTGTCCCTTAGCTTCTAGACAGATGATGCTGCCTTCGCCTAGTTTACTGCTTCTCCTACACACAGCGTGGTAAAGGGTCTCTGGTGGCATCAAGTTACCTTATTGCGTCTCGTTTTGGAGTTCTGCCCCCACCAATCGTTTATTCTGGCCCCACCATCGCTTATTCTGCCCCCACCATCGCTTATTCTGCTCTATCCTTGTATGCTCCCCTCTCCTCTCCTTGCTTGTGTTGTCTATTTGCACGTGGGCATGTGGATGTATGGGACATGCGCATGTGTATGTGTGGCTATGGCTGTACATGCCTGGGTTTTCCTGTTTGCACATGTGTGCGCATGTCTGTGTGTGCATGTCTGTGTCCGTGTGTGTATATGTGTGTGTATTTCTCTGTGTGCGTGTGTATGCCTGAATGCGTGTGCATGAGCGTGTGTGCGCATGTGGCATCACGGCCATGCCACCAGGTGAGGGAGACGGTGCATGATGTGTGCTTCCTCCACAACGACCTCTTCTTTGCCGCTGCGCAGAAGAGGTGAGCGAAGCCCGCCTGCATAGGGAGCAAAGCCCGCCTGCACATTTCTCCTGTTCATTCGATTCATCCACAAATAGGGAGAAATGGCGTTGGTCTTCGTCAAGACGTGTGGCTTCACACACACACATGTATGCTTTGCCGCCACGCCGCCCACAATGCGTGCGCTCCTCCTTGCTTGTCTTGCTGCTGTACCATGTCCCCCCTGCGTTTCCTCCCATCCCGATCCAACCCCCCTTCCATGTTCTCTTCCCTCCCCCCACTTATCCCTTCCTTCGCCCTTCGCCCCTCACGCCTCCCCCCTCTCTTCTCCCCTTTCGCGATCCCCCATCCCCCTCACCCCTCCCCCTTGCACCCTCGCCCTCGCCTCGCACCCCAGGTACACCTTCATTTACGACAAGAGGGGAATAGAGCTGCATTGCCTCAAGGTCCGTTCTCGTGCTCTAACCTTCCACTCTTCATGCTTCATGCTTCGCTCGCCGCCTTCGTTCCGCCCACTGCTCCCTTGCTCCTCTTACGCTTCTTCACCCCCCCTGCCCTTTACCCGCCTCGTGAGGCCTCTCTTCCCTCCTCTTCTCACCTCTTCACTCGCACCCGCCTCGTCCTCGTCTACAGCCCCCCCCCCCACCCCCCCCCCCCCCCCATCTCTTCTCCTCATCTTGACTCAGCTCACCCCTCCGCTGCTCGCCTAACGAATTTTCACTGTTCTTCTACCCCCTTCGTCCCCCTGCCCTCCCCCAGAACATCACGGGCAGCGGGGCGCTGCGCTTGCAGTACCTGCCGCACCACATGCTGCTGGCGTCCATCTCCAAGGGCGGTGTGCTGGACTACGTGGACACCACCACGGGCCGCCACGTGGCGCACTGCAAGACGCGCAAGGGGCGCTGCGACGCCATCACAGCCGACAGCCGCACGGGCGTGATCTCCCTGGGCCACAGCAACGGCAGCGTCACCCTCTGGAGCCCGTCCTTGGGCAACCCCCTCGCCACACTCCTTGCGCACCACGCGCCGCTGACGGCCATTGCGACTGATGTGTCGTCGGGGCGGTACCTGGTCACGGCGGGCATGGAGGGGCGCGTGCGCGTGTGGGACGTGCGCACGCTGCGCGAGCTGCACTCGTACGTCTCGCCCTCGCCAGCGAGGACGGTTGCACTGAGTCAGCGCGACATGCTGGCAGTGGGGTTCGGATCGGCAGTGGAGGTGTGGAAGGAGGCGCTGACAGCGAAGCAGCTCACGCCGTACCTAAAGCTCAGGATTCAGTCGAGTGGAGCGAACAGGAACACCAGGAGTGGTGGGGGAGGCGGGGCAGCAGCCACTTTCGCCGGAACCACAGCAGCAGCAGCGGTGGAGAGACTTTCCTTCTGCCCGTACGAGGACGTTTTGGGCGCCGGGCACGCGGAAGGATTCTCTTCGCTGCTGGTGCCCGGGGCAGGCGAGGCGAACTTTGACTCGTTTGTGGCGAACCCGTTTGAGACGAGGAAGCAGCGGCGCGAGGCGGAGATCCACATGCTGCTGGACAAGCTGCCCCCTGAGTCCATCATGCGCGAGCCCGACCGCATCGGCACCCTCCTCCGCCCCCACGAGCGCCAGCAGGCTCTCACCCACTCCCTGGCTTCCAAGGCTAACGCTGCAGCTCGGGCAAAGAGCCTTGGGAAGAGCCCTGGGGCGGAAAGGAAGGGAGGGGGGAAGAACGGTGGGGAAGGTGCTGGTGGTGGGGGAGGGGGAGGGGGAGGGGAGGAGGAGGGGGATGAAGAGGATGAGGAGGGTGAGGAGGAAGGAAAGGATGGGGCGAAGCGGCGTCGGGAGAAGAACAAGACCAAGGGGCGGAACAAGCCATCGAAGCGAGCCAAGAAGAGAAAGATGAACATCATTGAGAGCAAGAGGGAGGCCACGCGGAGAGACGTGCGCGCCAAGGAGGGCGGAGGAGGGGCAGGGGCGAGCAGAGGAGGGGAGGAAGGGAAGTCTGCAGTGCCACTTGCTCTGGCTCGGTTTCAACGAAAAGGGGCATTGTGAAAGGGCAGGAAGGATGACAATGGGGGGCATGATGACAAGGGGGGCAGGATGACAAGGGGGGCAGAATGAAGTCCAGCACAACACCACCACTACAAGAGGAGAGCACATCACGTAGAGTAGGCACAAAGCCAAGAGCACTGCAAAAACGCTGATGATCACTAGACCCAAGTGCCTTGGTGAAAATATCTGCATTGTTGGACTCACAGGCCACGTAAGAAAGGCGAAGCTGACCACGCTGCTAGAACTCTCGCACCAAAAAGTAATGAGAGGCAATGTGATTCGTTCTGCTCTGGAGTCCTTGCTCTTGACACAAAACAATCATAACCTTATTATCAACGTACAAAACCAATGCAGAATGAGGCCTCCCACTCAAGTTGGTGAGCATCGCAGCCATAGCTCCAGTGTAGATCTCGGCCTCACAGCTGGAACTGAGCACAGAAGATGAGCGAGTGTCTTACAAACTGAAAAACAGCGGAATGAGTTGGATTGATTGGGTTGGGGTACAAATACCTAACCCTAACTGTTTGTACCCCATATAGCATAACCCACTAGAGGCTATAACATTTGACACACCCCCATAGCCTAAGTGGGGAATGCCAAGCAACAAAACGCAACCTAAGGTCACAAGACCAGTCACAAGCAAGAGAGAAAACAAAGCTTAGGGTGGATCACAACGTCACCACACAGTCTGAGCACAAACAAGGGGCCACAAGGCCAGTTCAAGAGTGTACAAGCTAATATATATGGTACAAACAAACAAGAGGTAAGAACTCATTACTACAGTGTTAAGATGCTAAGCACGAGTAAGAGCCATGGCTAGGGCTTAAGGAAAACTCGAGAGAGAAATGGGAGAAGGGGGATTGAACTAGAAAGGAGAGGGGTACAAATAGCAAGCCCTAAAAGGGTTATACTCACTATTGAGTACCCCACTACAGACTAGACAAGCATTATATTCTGACACACCCCCATAGTCAAAGTGGGGTACCGTCATACCCCGGATATAAGCGCCACCCGCGGATAAGCGCCTGGCGCTTTTAATCGGCGCCCGGCGCTTATATCCGGTGCTCGATTATAAGCGCACCCCCCTGAAAAAACTTGTTTTATTATAAGCTCACGTAAACTTTAAATTTTGAATTGTGTTCGAAACACTGTAACGATTCCTACTTTAGCAGGGGAATGTGTTGCAGATTCGCTTCCCTTCACATTCGGACCCTGCACTGGGTGCGGGTCCAGTCAGCAGGAGCAGTCAGGGGCTGTCAGAAGCTGTCAGAAGCTGTCAGGAGCTGTCAGAGTGGGTGTATCTCCAGCGCGCGCGAGAAGTTTCACAGAACTTCGACTCGATTGGAAAAGGCAAGCACGAGATCTACAGCTTGGTGTTAAAAAATATATCAATTATAGATGTCGTTTTATAAACGCCGGCGCTTATAAATTTACCCGATTATAAGCCCATCCCCCCTAAAAAAACATGTTTTATTATTGCCCCCCATGGGGGTATATCCGGGGTATGACGGTACAATCAATACGACACGCAGACACAGCAAGTTTAAAATTGTAAGCAAAGCTAGAGGCTATCACAGAGGGCAAGTGAGGAGGAGGAGAAATTGTGGAGGCGAGGAGATGGGAGGCGATGGCTAAAGCTGCAGACACACGGGCAACAGGAGCGGCGCGCACAGTGGCTACCGGAGCAAGACGTCCGGACTACTGGAGTGACTGGCTCCGCGGCTAAGACGAGCGGCAGGAGCAACTGACCCACGGGCGACTGGCGCAGCAGGCTCGCTGGGCTACCAGTGGCAAGGGCCCCAGACTACTGGCGCTGCGGACGACAAAACGGCTACCTCCTCTCGACCTCCCCCAACTGTCCCAATCCCCTTGCACACACCCCCTGCAGTACCCCTAGCAATGCTCACACGCCACCCCCCTATTGCCACTCCCACGACTCCCACACATCCACCCCCCTCAGCGGCAGCTGCAGCAGTGGGAGAGAGGGGAGGAGGATCAGGGGACGATGCACACACCCATCACCCCCATACCCGCCACCCCCACACTTGCCAACCCCAAACCCTACCACAGGCAGGAGCGTGGGCAGCAGCGGGGGTGGTGTGCGGGCAGGGAGGGTGGGGAAGGGGAGGGCGCGTCCCCCCGCTGCCCCGTCGCGGCGCCCTGGGGAGCCACACGCGGCTCCCAGGGCGTTGCGATGGTCGATGGGGGGGAAGGCGCGGGTCCCCCGGGGGCAACGCGACGGTCGACGGGAGGGGATAGCACGCGCGCCCCTGGGGTGTCGCGACGGGCGACGGGAGGGGGCAGCGCGCGCGCCCCTGGGATGTCGCGACGGGCGACGGGAGGGGGCAGCGCGCAGGCCCCTGGGGTGCCGCGACTGGCGACGGGATGGGGCAGCGCGCAGTCCCCCTGGGGAGCCGCGACGGGCAACGAAACCGCCGCGCGCGCCCGGGGCGCGCGGCGGGCAGGAAACCGCCATGCGCCCCGAGCGCATGGCGAGCAGAAAAAAAAGCGTCGCGCTCCACGGGGCGCGCGACAGACAGGTCAGCAGCAGAAGCAAGTGGGGGGCCCACAGGCCAAGAGCGTAACAGCTCTGATACCATGTTAAGATGCTAAGCACGAGTAAGAGCCATGGCTAGGGCTTACGGAAAACTCGAGAGAGAAATGGGAGAAGGGGGATTGAATTAGAAATGAGAGGGGTACAAATAGCAAGCCCTAAAAGGGTTATACTCACTATTGAGTACCCCACTACAGACTAGACAAGCATTACATTCTGACATACAGTCTACTAGACCCAGTCTCAACGAGGCCTAACTGCAGACAAAACCGGCGGTGGTCACAAGGCTGAAGGGCCTTGGTGAAGATGTCTGCAGTGTTGGCCTCAGAGGCCACGAAGTCCAAACGTGCCTGACCGCATCTCTGCAACTCTCGAAGGAGGAAGTACCTGACGTCGATGTGCTTCACTCTGCTCTCCAGTCGAGGCTCACAACACTTGAGAATCATCGCCTTGTTGTCAGCAAACAAGGTCGGTGCAGAGCTCGGCCGCTCACCAAGGTCAGTGAGCAAGAAGGTCAACCAGCGTAGCTCCTGTGCAGCAAGGGCTCCAGCGTAGATTTTGGCCAATGCGGTAGAAGTCGCAACAGAGGAGGACCGAGTAGACCTCCACGAAACAGCTCCAGAGCCCAGGCTGAAACAGTAACCCTGTGTAGACCTCTGAGTCTCAACGTCGTCGGCGTACGAGGAGTCGAAGTGACCGGTGAGTACTATTGGCTGTGTCCCTCCAAGTACAAGCCCCATGTCTGATGTCGTGGTGAGATACTTCGCCACCCTCTTAGCCGCCATCCAGTGAACAGAACGGTGGCTCCCAGTCGCAACAAAGCGAGAAAGGATGCTAAGAGGGAAGCCAAGGTCCGGGCGAGTGCACGTCATCAGGTACATGAGGCAGCCCACCAGCTCTGCGTAGGGACCACTGGGCTCAAACGGCTCGTCAGGAAAAGGCCCAGTGAGTCTGTGGTCTACAGCAAGAGGAGTGGGTGTAGGAGAAGAGTCCTGAAGCCCGAACCGTTGAAGGACCTGCTGCACCATGTGTGACTGAGTCAGAGTGATGGTGCAAGTGGCTCTGTCCCTGGAGATCTGCAGGCCAAGGTAGCGGCGCAGTTCCCCAAGGTCAGTGCAGGTGTGTCTCTTCTGCAGTTCGGACTTCACCTCCGCCAGTGCAGCTGTGTCGGCTGTGGCAAAAACCAAGTCGTCAACGTAGACCAGAACGAAGAAAGGTGTGCGCCCACGACGAACAAACAGCGACGGGTCGGCGGAAGACGGCTCAAACCCGAGGTCGGACAGAGTAGAGCGAAAGGTGTCGTGCCACTCACGGGGTGTCTGGCGAAGACCGTAGACCGGTCGTCTGAGGCTCCACTGGGTCCCAGGCGGGAAGGTGCCAGTGAAGCCCGGAGGACGACGCAGCCAGATCTCCTCGTGTAGGCTGCCCTGGAGGAAGGCAGTGGAGAAGTCAAGAGAGTGTAGCTCGTAGTCTCTCTGCGCTGCTACGTGCAGTAACACCTGAAGAGTGGTCATCTTCGGGGTGGGCGCGAAGGTCTGAAAGAAGTCAACTCCCTCACGCTGACTGAACCCTCTAGCCACGTAGCGTGCCTTGAAGACTGGGGGAGATCCCGGCGGCCGCTTCACCTTGAAGATCCACATGCCGTCAACGATGTTCGCCCCTGGGGGGGGAACCTCGTCAACGTAAGTGCCTGTGGATCTATAGGAGGCCATCTCTGCGTCCATGGCAGCTCTCCACTGAGAGGCCCAAGGCCCTGACACTGCCTCAGCGTAAGTGCGAGGAGTAGGTATGTCAGGAGCGTCGGGGTCTCCCTCAGGAGCGAGGAGCATGGCATATAGATGAGGCGAAGCAGCTGCCAGGAACTCTAGCTCAAACTGTCTGTCCTCTAGGACGTCACAGCCAAGGGCAAACTCACCCCCGGCGGACAGAGGACGGACAGGAGGAGCGGCCACAACACGAGTGGCGTAGTCAAGGCGACGCGTAGCAGTAAAGTCAGTGACAGCGGCAGTGAGGACCGCGACGGAGGAAGGGGAGGCACGAGGGTCTGTAACAAGAGAGGCAAGAACACAAGAGAGAGTGGGGCAGTACGTGCGGTAGTAGTCAGTGACCGGAGTGGACAGGGAGGAAGTAAGGGACGACTCTTGAGGACGAGGAAGAACAGACGGAGGAGGACGAGGAGGACTAGGACGAAACAACACGGTACGGAGGTCAGTGACAGGTGACGAGGGACGAGCACGAGGAGGACGAGGGGTCCAAGTGTGGGCGAGAGGAGAGGGAGACGGAGGAGACTGAGAACGAGGGGAGTCGGAGGAGGAAACGTAGGACCGAACACAGGAGGAGAGGAGGGGAGACCAAGGGCCCGAAGGCCAGAAACAGGGGCCAGAGGCTGCTCCGGCTGCTGCTACTACTGCTGCTCCCGCTGCAACTCCAACCTCTCACGCTCCAC